TTTGCCTTGGTGTTTTGGGGATGGGTTCCCATATCTTAGGCTGGCCTGAAGCTATTTATCTCAGGATGGCCTTCAGTCTTGGGCCTCAGTCTCCCTACTACTGGGATTATGGGTATGAGTAACTGCAGCTACTTAAGATACCATTCATTAACACAACGATCTGAAAAAAATACTCAGAAAGTGTGAAAACGGTGAAGATACAAAAGAAATTTACAAACATTACTGACCAAAAAGAAAAGATGTAGCTTGAGAGGCATTTCCAGTTCATGGAGCAGAATTTTATAGATCATAGCCTCGTTAACTTTCTAGATGTTAATCCTTCTCTAAATGATACACTGCTCATCAGAATTCAGATAGGACTTCTGCGGAGGTTGACGGGTGAATTCTAAAATGTATATGATCATTCAAAGAGCCCAACTTGAAGAATAAGAACACATTGGAAAGCCTATTCCGTAGCAGTCGCTTCCAGTTTGGCTGCACTTTCGAGTCATCAGGGAAATGTCTCAGGACAGTGACACCTTACCTCCTACATAATTAAATCTGCACTTGTAAAGGGACACACGCAGACATTGATAATCTTAAAAATGTGTCAGATGTCAAACGTGCAGTCAAGAGAACCACAGCCCTGCAGCATATTCTCATACAGCATGTAGGATGAGCATGCAGTAATGCTCCAGATCTGCATGCATTAAGACTGATAATTTGTCTTAATATGAACATAAAATGAACAGCCCTGTGACTGTGTCTGAAGAAGCAGAGAAGCCACAAGAGGAGATCCTGGTCTGAAACACAGTATTTATGACTAGGGGACACGATACAGCATGAGCAAAGGGAGCTTTTCAACCAGGTAGGGTGTGGGACCCCTCTAACGCTGTCACGTGGAAAGCAGACGGTCTCTGTGAGTTCAATGCTAGCTTGATGCATAACAGCGAATTCCTGTCCAGCGGAGTTACATAGTAAGATGCTGTCTCGCTTTCTTTCCTTTCAATCTCACTGTACTCATTAGCTCTCTCTAGATCTTGGCCCTCATGTCATAGCATATATACAAAACAATTGATTTCAGGCAGACCACAGATACAAAGCAAAGAATAAATAAGTGAATTTCAAGAGGCTAACATAGTATTTTCATAACTCATGATAAATAAAAATTTCTTTAGCAGCACGTAATAGAATTGTAATGGCAAACTGATCACTCTAACAGTAAAATTGAAAACTTCCCCTCATGAAAAGGTATTCCTAAGAAAATGGTAAGCTTCACAGGCGAGAATATATTTACCACCAGAAAACTGATTATCATATATTATCATATATATATATATATATATTGTATCAAGTCATTAGCACAAATTTATAAACCTTAATATAAATGAGCCAGACCCAGGAACCGTGTCCTAAAGAGAATCTGCAAACATCATGGGATAGAAGACTATATGTCATGGATTTCATTAGACAGAAGGCAGATGTGAAGTCAAACCTGGGCTTCCTGCAGGGTTCCTACCAGAAAGACTAAAAGCAAGATAACCAGTGACAGAAAATATCATCAGGTGTGTTAACAGGAACTTTCAGAGCCATCTAATGGAAATGCAGACTGAACAAGTGCTTGGGAAATTTTTCTTCTGCCACCCATCAAGCACAATATACATACCATTAGACATAGCCATTTTGCTTGTTTTTAATATCCTTGTGAACATGGATGTATAAGAGAATTTCATGATAATACACTACCATACATGCTGTATGTAAAGTAGAAATAACCCCAATGTCCTTCCGCAGTAGAATGGCTCAGTAAATTTTGGTGTATTAATCCACTACTATATTATACACTACTAGAACTGATGGCCTTCACCTATAAACCTAGGTTCTCAGTAGGTTGACGCAGGAGGGTCGCTACCTGAAGACATGCCTGCGCTACAGAGTGAGTCCAAAGCCAGCCTATGGAACTTAGTAAGACCCTGTAGCAAAACAGAAGTGAGAAGAGGGTTGGGGCTATTGCCTAGTGGTAGTGCACTAGCGTAGCATGCATAAGGCCTTAGTTTTGGTCCCCAGTACTGATATAAAAAAAGAAAGAGAGAAAGAAGGAAAGGAAGAGAGAAAGAAAGAAAGAAAGAAAGAAAGAAAGAAAGAAAGAAAGAAAGAAAGAAAGAAAGAAGAAGGAAGAAAAAGAGAGAAAGAAAAGAAAGGAAAGGAAAACATAAATTGTATAGAATAGTATAGATTAACTTTACAACACATGTAAGCCAGCCAAAAGAGTACAATATTATAATTTTCCATTTACATGAAGTTTATAAATAAACAAAAGTTATGGAGTATTGGTTAATTTGGGGAAGAAACTAGATAACAATTGAAAAGTATTTAAGATGTGTCTTCTAGAGCACTATTTTTCTATTTTTTGAGTGACTGTTACATGGATGTACTTACTGTAGAAATTCATTTTAATTAAGTGATAACATAGTAAAGTATAAAGGAAGAAGACAGTAATGGATCAAGTTTCTTTTGTGAAACAACTTACTGTTTCTTTAAGTTAACATATAAAACCAAGACAATCTAAGAAAGCTCTTTGTTAGATTTCCTAGAGAAGCAGTTGTTATTTTTTAAATGTACTTTAAGTCTCTGAACAGCTAAGTAAGCTTTAGAATATGGAGCAAAAACATGGGAATCAGATGCACCCTGAACATATATTAACACTAATCTCTCAGCTGTCATTCAGAAAAAAATCAAATGATTGGGCACAAATAATGAAAACATCAACTAAGAGACCAGAAGAGGTATTTATTTCCAAGACAAAGGATGCACGTGTGAGCATATTATCTAATGGTACTGAGAAATCTGAGAAATCTGACTTAACTTGTAAAAAAAAATGTAAAATTGGATTCCTGTACATCTCATAGCAATGCATCCTGAAAATAAAGAAAGGACCAAATATAAAATCTGAAACTGTGAAGCTGTTACAAAACAATTCTTCATATGTATACAGAAAGACTTCTTCTGTAAAACCTAAAAAGCATTAACCGTGAGATGAGAAGCAATGGATGGACGGCTTAGAAGTGTAAATTCTGATGTGAAAGGGAGTAGATGTGATGAAAGATGGCCTAATTCCAAATATCAGCTCACAAACTTAAGGAAACTCTGAGGGCGACTAGTACAAACTCGGGAGTATGGAGGTAGGAAGTTGTGCATGTATTAACCTTTTTTTTTTTGGTATGGTAAAACTGAATAATTGCTTCCTAATTTGTGATAGGGATACATCTTGATAAACCCACTGGAAACTCCCAAATACATTGCATACATTAACCAACTCATGATCATAGCTCAATTATTCAATCCTAATCACGTAAAGAACATGTATTAGAACAGCGAAGGAAATCAATTTCTTTGTTGTTGCTGTTTGTTTTTTCTTTTAGACAGGGTTTCTCTGTGCAACCCTGGACTGGAACTTTTTTTTTTTTTTTTTTTTTTGTAGATCAGGCTGACCTCGAACTCAAAGATCTGCCTGCCTCTGCCTCCAGAGTGCTGGGATTAAAGACATGTTCAGCCTCTGCCTGCTACAAAATGCCCATTTCAAAACCAAGTGTTTAGTGCCCCATGTAACTGATTGACTGCTGTACTTAAAATAAAAAAAAAAGAAAAGAAAACCAGAATGGCTGTGCATTTCTACTACACTGCAAAGTAAAAGAAAGAAAGAAAGAAAGAAAGAAAGAAAGAAAGAAAGAAAGAAAGAAAGAAAGAAAAGTGGAAATCTAACCATGGGAAGTCAGAAGCCAACCATTCTTTAATTTCCTAATACTTTCAGTAGACCCAGTTCTTTGTTTTGCTTTAATTCTCCTGTTCTTATAAGCAGAAACAGATATCTACCTAGAAAATGTTTTTCAGTACTTTAATGTAATCAAACTAACTTTAAAATGCTAGAAAACATATTGGGGATTTTCCTTAAAGTAGTAAGCTATACCAAAATTCACCAGTCTAGTTTTTAATAATTTTCAGTGACCTTTAACTCTTCAACACAGAGTTTTAGAGGAATTTTGTGGACAATAGGTGCTAATTTCTGTATCTTTACATAGAATTTGCCACCATTTATGTAGCTTAGTGGGGTCACTACAGAAAGAGGAGCATGAATGCAAGGCAAGCTTAGGAGTCCTTCTGAACTTGGAAGTACTTATTTGTAAGGATTGTGCCTTTGATGTCACATTCATTTTGAGTGAAGCAAAGAAAATTCAGCTGTTCTTTTCTCCTTTTTCTGTTTTTTTCTTAAATAATCTATAAACAAGTATCAACGACATTTTTTGGATAGACCTAACCAACACTTGATCATAGCTCAATCTGTTCTGTCCTAATCAGGTGCAGAACATGCGTTATTACAGGGAACGAAATCTTTGTTGTTGTTTGTTTGCTTTTTGAGACAGGATTTCTCTGTGTAACCCTGGTCATCCTGAAATTTGTTCTGTAGGTCAGGATAGCCTTGAAGTCAGACATCTGGCCTGTGTTTGCCTTCCAAGTGCTGGAATTAAAGACCTGTGCCATCACTGCCTGCTACATCTGACAAATGCCCATTTTGTACTTATTTTAAATGCCATTTTATGCTCCCCCATTTTTTTAACCCAATGTTCAGAGAGTAGGCAGAAGAAGCACATCATGTGTGTTGACTTGTTGAATTATTATCAAAAAAGGGATCCCAGTTCACATCGTTGGATATCACCATCAACTAGAGCCTTAGTTTCTCCCTCCTTCACCAGCTGCTGGTCTCCACTATTCAACAGTTTGTTACATTTGTGTGCGTGCGCGCGTGTGTGTGTGTGTGTGTGTGTGTGTGTGTGTGTGTGCTCACCTTTCCTTTGGAAAACTCAAGATTTGTGTTTGTGGGTACAATGAGGTTCGAACCTAATCGCCATGCTAGGCCACATACACAGCCCTTCACGTATTCTTTATTAAAATCGCTCCCACAAATTCCCAAGAGACTTTTATAAAATCCTTGCAGCAAATTAAAAAAGTAGACAAATGCTTACCTTCAAAGTAGATGCCTGACTGGATTTCTAAGACCCTGGGAAGGGTCCTTAGGTCAAGGGAGTGAACAAATTCTTCCAGCGATACCGCCATGGCTCTGTCTTGGTTGGTGTGAAGATCTGATTTTTAGAGAAACTTGTGGCTTCTGGATGTCAATTGTCTGCAGTCGCTTTCTTTGCTCATAATTCCTCCCTCTAGCAGGCAGAATGTCAAAGGGGAGCCAAACCAGGGCAAAACAGCCCTAGGTGGACAGGTACTTGTCCGCAGTGGTTACTCTTCACACTTACTACCTGGGGCAGCAGAGAGGATGTCACACTGCAGCCAAGCCCAGGAGGAACAACTAGAGCAAGGGAAGGCCGAGAACAGGCAGGAGGCAGAGTGGGTAAAGCCCTTGTTCTTCTTCTTGCGGCTTCATTTCCTTCTGACACTGAAGCAGGTGTGGGGGTGGGGTGTGTTGGTCTGAACTGTCACTACCCAAAGTAATGAGGTTGGCAAGTTGCCAACGCCTGTGCACCCACAGTGGCGGTGAGACTGTGAAGAAACAGGCACCTGTGGTGTGACCACTGCACATGGCTGGCAGGCAGGAGCAGTGTCTTACCTTAAGGGTGGCATGCCATCAGTGCATTACCTCTCTGCATCTGGAGTTTAGCTCGGTGTTTTATTTGCATACTCTTGGTGCTTTTATATTAAACTTGATTACAAAAGAGCCCTGTGTCAGCTGTTTTTGGAAATCTGGTCCTCAGAAGAGGATGGGAAACCACTTTTATCTTTTCACATTAAGTTTTTTGCTGAACCTTAAAGGAGGATGGGGGAGAGTGCTATATGAAAGTGGCCAGGAATGACTGCAGTAGACGATGGGAGCTTTCTGGCCTCCACAGTGGGAAGGAAAGTCTGTAAGGGCAGTGCTTAGAAACATGACTCCTGGGCTTCGCACGGCTTCCCACTCGCAAACATTTCCTATTCAGAACTCACTTGCTGGTTAAATGTAGATTTAAAAACTAACTAAAAAATCTGCACAAGCCCCCCAATTCCACAATTCTGCTCTGACGATCAAAGTTTAAAGTTAAAAATGCCCAAAGCCAAAGGAAACAAGAGAAACCTTGTGAAAACTAATCTTTAACTCTCAAAATCAGTCTTTGTTTGTTTTCATTTTTGTTTTGTGTTTTTTTTTTTTAAACAAAATATCACTCTGAAGGGTAGACTCGTCTTAAACTCTTGTCAATCCTCTGCTGCTGGGCTGGGATTGCAGGCATGTGTCATGTCATGGGTTGGAATTACAGACATGTGTTATGTGTTGGGGTTACAGATAAATGTCATGTGTTAGCGTTACAGGCATGTGTTATGTGTTGGCGTTACAGGCATGTGTCATGTGCTGGGATTATAACCATGTGTCATGTGCTGGGATTACAGGCATGTGTCATGTGTTGGCATTACAGTCATGTGTCATGTACTGGGATTATAAACATGTATCCTGTGCTGGGATTACAGGCATGTGTCATGTGTTTGGATTACAGGCATGTGTCATGTGCTGGGATTATAGGCATGTGTCATGTGCTGGGATTACAAGCATGTGTTATCACATCCAGTTTAAAGCAGATTTGTTGTTATTGGTTTTCTTTTCCTAATTTAACTTTTATTGTTTCTTTGTGGAATTATTTTGCCTTTGACTAGAATTTTTTAATTTATTTTATTTATTTATATTAATTTATTTATTTTAAATGCATTTTACATACCAACAACAGTTAACCCTCCCTCCCCTCTCTCCTTCCCCACTAGCCCCAGCCAACCCCCTATCCACTCCTCAGAAAGGATAAGACTTCCCATGGGGAGTAAACAAAGTCTGGCACATTAAGTTAAGGCTGGACCAAGCACCTCCATCCTGCATCAAGGCAGAGCAAGGCATCCCATCATAGGGAATGGGTTTGAAAAGCCAGTTCATGTACCAGGGAGAGATCCTGGTCCCACTTCCAGGGTCCCCTCAGACAGACCAAGCTACACTCTGTGATCTATATGCAGAGGGTCTAGTTATTTCCCATGAAGATCTGTACAGCTGTCAACCTAGAGTCTGTGAATTCCCATGAGCTCCATCTGCTCAGCTGTCTCTATTGCTTTCTAGTCATGTTCTTGATACACACACACCCCCACTCATATAATCTTTTCTCCCTTTCTTCCACAAAAACCCAACACCCCTTCATGATAATGGTCTTGGAGGGATCAAACATACAAAGAACATACCTAAACATAATAAAGACAGTTTACAGCAGCTGACAGCCAACATCAAAATAAATGGAGAGAAACACAAAGTGATTCCACCAAAATCAGAAACAAGATAAAGCTGTCCACTTTCTCCATATCTATTCAATATAGTACTCGAAGTTCTAGCTACAGCAGTAAGACAACAAAAGGGGATCAAGGGGATAGAAATTGGAAAGGAAGAAGTCAAACTATCTCTATTTGCATTAGTGACCCCAAAAAATTCTACCAGGGAACTCCTACAGCTAATAAACACCTTCAGTAATGTGGCAGGATAAAAGATGAAATCGAAAAATCCGTATCCTTCCTATATACAAATGATAAATGGGCCAAGAAAAAAATCAGAGAAACATTACCCTTGACAATAGCCACAAATAATATAAAATATGATGGGGTAGCTCTAACCAAACAAATGAAATACAAGTATGGCAAGAACTTTAAGATTTTGGAAAAAGAAATTGAAGAGGATATCAGAAAATAGAAAGATTCCTCATGCTCTTGGATAGGTAGGATCAACATAATAAAAATGGAAAATTTTTATTAACACATTTTCCAAAATTACCAAATGCAATCTACAGATGATTCTACGCAACCCCTATCAAAATTCTAACACAATTCTTAGTGGATTTCACATCATGCATCTCAATCACATTCATTTCCCCATCTTTTCACATCATCCTGTGCCCTTGGAACCTCCCCCACAAGATAAAACAAAATAAAATCTAAAAGAAAAGAAAATTCTCATTGTGGAAGCTGTAGCGTGACGTTATGAGTCACACAGTATACCCTATTATACATATGTCTTAATTTCAAGTGTTCACTATACCAAGTCAGTGGCCTAGTTCAAGGCCTCCAACCTTGATACTGTACCCTCACTGGGAATCCTCTTGGATATCCTGCTGTTGCCCTGTGTCACAGAGGTCCTGCAACTTTGGGTCCTCGGGACCAGTATGTAGATGGAGTCAATGTTGGGATTACCAACTCATATAGCCCTGGTTTTGGGCCTGGGTGGTTGCTGGATTGGTTAGCCTGCCAGCTCTCCCTCATCCTCAACACCAGGGTGAGATCTCCAGCACCATCTGCCTGGCTCAACCACTGCAGCAAGCAGCAAGGGTGAGGTTGGGTCTCCTGATTTCACACCCTCAGGGTTGGCATACCCACACCTATACCACCAGAGCTAGCTTTACTGTGTTGCCCAGATCTGATGCAGGGACCACTCTGCCAAGTGGTGCAACTGGTGAGAGGCAGGGCCAGTTCTCTCACTCTTGTTACCTCAGGGACAGCTCTTCACCAGCAGGGGCGTCTCTCCTTCCTCCAGCCACCATATGGAAGATGAGGGCTTGGGTCAGATTTCTCATGCTCATATTCTCAGGGTCAGCTCACCTCCCTGGCACCCTCTATCGACAGAGTCAGCATTACTGTGCTGCCCAGGTGGGGTGCAGGAAATGCTCTCCCAAGAGCTACAGTCAGTGAGGGCCAGGGCCAGCTCCTTCACTATCATGATACAGGGACCCACTCTGGCCTGGCACAGGAAGGGGAAGGGAAAGGAGGACATTGCGCCCTCCTCCATACCAGCTAACGGGTACTCATGACCTCAGGGCCAGCTCTCTCACCTGACACAGGTGGTAAGGGGCAAAGGGGAATGACTCCCCCTTACTCATAACACCATATGGCAAATGAGGGGCAACACCAGATATCCAAACTCACATTCTTCAAGATGGCTCACCTGTGAAGAGAGTCAGCTTGTTGTGAGTTTCTTTGCTTTCTTTTCTTTGTACTAAATTCAAACAGTATTTTAGAGGTTGCATATACAATATGAAGTGAGAGTATCTATGGGTGTTGTAGGCAAATAAAAAAAGATTGGTTTAAGTGAGTAGAGCTGAAATATGCTGGAGTTGCTCACTCTACTAACAGACTGGATTCTGGACTTAAGCCTGGCCATGGTATAACACCTACCAAAATCCTTTCTACTCTTTCTAATCACGTTTGGCCCTTATAGCAATTTGCCAACCTTCATTCCATGCAAAACCAGGGTTAAATGGCAAATTGCACCAAATGTTTTCTGCCAGTATCGTCTACATTATCACTTAAACATTTTGTCCCCTAAATCTCCCAAGCTTGATATAGCTGTCGTCTATTCTCTTCTTGACTAAGTCTGGGCCTCTCACTCGACTACAAACACTGTTTATAGCCTAGTGTCATATGTCATATGGCTTTAAAATATGGAAAGGGCTGCCTCTTGAAAATCATACATTTATAGAGTTGGTGCCACAGTAAATTTTATTTAGTGTGTAATCAGTGCTGCATTTCACTTGATGTCTTTAACTTTCAAATACAGTCTCTGTCCTTCTAGTCAAAGCTAGAAGATTCCACTATATCACTGGATGCTTATACTTACTTACTCTGTCCCTTTTCTGCTCTTCACACAGAGGACCCCCCCTGTATCTCACAATATGTTTTTTTTTTCTAAAATCTCAATCATAAAGTTAATGATTCCACCATTTTTAAGAGTGTCATGCTAGAAGGCTTAAAGTCATGCATGAGCAGACATTTCTGTCAGTCTTGAAATCCCCCAAGCTCTATGGGTGACAGTCTTCAAGGCCACTCCTCTGGCCTTGTCCTGTATTGCCATCATTGCCACTGTAACCCAAGTTGTTACTACTTCTATCATCTCAAAGACATCCTTCTGTGAGCAGCCAAGAAGAAATGGGCGAAAGAGAGAAATTCCTTGAACTATTGCATATTGCAGTGAATTACTGAAGTTCAGTTGTGAATGCAGACGTGGCATGTTTAATCACAGTCAGACTAATGGAAGTTCAGAAACAAACAAACTGTATGTCACAATTTTCAACCTGCAGAAAGTAGATTTTCAAGCCAGTAAGGAAGAAAGATGTATTTTTTCAAATGATTGCTTAATAATCAGGGGGAAGGAGAATTCCAAAACACCCTGGGAAAGAAAATTAAGATAAATTTTAAACTTAAATATTAACATAAAGAAACAAAAGTCAGGGACAGGAAGGTGTGACTGGGGTTTTAGAAAAACTGCTTTCAAACATTAGTTGGAGTC